CCTACTTGGCAGCGGAGAAGCGCCAGCCCCCAGCCGCAGCAGCGTGCTGGGTAACTCCCGCCCACTCTGGGAGGCAGTGGAGCAGGCCCAGTCTGCTGCTCCCCTGGGGTGCTGAGGGGGCTCGCAGGCGACAGGGCCACACTGTCCCCTTCTGGGGACCTCAGACACCCTCTCTTCTACAGCACCACTCTGGCCAGCTTTTGTGGAGGCTGGTCCCCCTCCTGCTTTGCCCCTTTGCCCCTCCCTCCCAATGGCCTAAATCTGCTCACTCCCTGGAGCCACACCCCTACCTTTCTGGTGCTTCTATTTCCCTGCCAGGTCACTGTCCCCTGCACCCTGCCTGTCAGGGGCTGCCTGCAGGGCGGCCCATACAGAATTAGCATCCAGGCTCTCTCCTGGCCCCTCCCCTCACGAGCCGTGGGCACTGTTGGCCCTGTCCTCTTAGCCCTGCGTCCTTTGCCTCCATTCACGTCCCTTCCCGTTTCTCCAGCACACTGCCACCCGAACCGTCTTCCTCAGAGAACAGCCAGGACTTTCGGTTCCTTGGGGGCAACAAACCAGCTGCAGGAGCTGATAGGCAGGCGATGGGGAGGGGTGTGGGTCTCCAGTGAAGAGGCTTCCCCATCTGTATCCTGGAGGGCGGGGCCTCTGCTCCCCTCTCCAGCACCTCTTCCTGGCTGGCGCCCACTGGGGCCTGTTACTCTCTATCAAGAGGTGGCAGCTGCTGCTTCTCTGGCTCTGGTCTGCATGTCCTTCCCCTCTGGTCCCTCGGGCAACGTTTTCCAGTGGCTGGCTGTTTCTCCGGGTGCGGCTGGGGACCCCAGCCGCTCCTGCTGGAGGGTAGGGGAGGCCCAAAGATGGCAAAACCAGACAGCAGGTCGCCTTCGTTCGCTGGCGGGTCTTCCAGGGTGTTCTCAAGCCGGGCTGCCTCTCTCAGTTCTCCTGGGGAGAGCCCAGTGAGTCTCTCCGCCCACAACCACCGGCCTCCACTCAGGTGGGAGTCCCCTTCTAATTGACAAAATCGGCCACACTGCACTGTTCACATCCCCACACAATGCCACATCCCCGGACAGGGAGGAAAAGGAAAAAAAAAAAACAAAACAGGAAAATTAAAGAGGCCGGTTAGAGCTCATCTCATAACATATTTGTAAGAAAATTAAAGATTTGTTTTTCAGATGTTAGGGGCCACACTTTCACCAGACAGCTGGCAAATGGGAGAGATTGGAAATGATGGAATAGATCAACTTATTTAAACGAGAAAAATAAATTCACACCCAGCCTTGCCGCGGCCCGGTGACAGATCCGTTTATTTATCTACTGTATCGGCACCGCTTTGTCTCTGTCACAAAGGTCATTAAACTCGCCTAACTGCGTAATTCGCAGCCTCCTGCTCCAGCCTCGCTCCACAGCCCTGCTCTTCCCTCGACACCCAGCACCACTTGAAAAAAAAATTATTATTGCTAATGAACTACGTTTCTTTTTAACCCTTACAGCTTGCTCCCCCACGGGTCCTGCTCCATCCCGCGGGGGAAAAATTAGTTTCTCTTCATTATTTTGCAAGAGGAGTGGGGGAGGGGCGCGAGCCCCTCCTTGGTCCTTGGGGAAGAGGGCTGAGAAGGAGCCGCTCACACGCCCCTGGAAGCCTAAGGGCGCAGCGGTCGCGGTCCGCAGCCCTGTTGTCCCGGTGCGCCGTCAGTCTCCTGCCTTGCTCAGCAGAGGTTCTGGCCTGGGCTCTGCCACCCCACCAGCTCCCGCAGCTCCCCGGGTCCCGCACGGACGATGCTCTTCGAATTCTGTCTTTCTCAGCCCCAGTCCCAGCCCCAGCCCCAACTCTGTTTCCAGGAGGGGTGAGGTTGGGGAGGGGAACAGGTTCCCAGGTCAGTCTCAGGCCGCCGCCGCCGTCCAGCCTGCGCCGGCCGCGTGGGAGCTGGAAGGAGACTCCGCAGACGGCGGGCTCCGGGGCTCGCCGGGCCGGGTCCCCCCCAGCTGGTCGGGCCGCTGGGTTGTCGCCGTCTCCCAGCTCGCAGTGCCAGCTCTCGCGCTCCACGCCTGGCTCCCGGGCTCCGTGCCCTCACAGTTGAAGGGACTGGGGGCGGCAGGGCGGATGGGGACGTCTGGGAAGCTAAGAGAGTCCTCGTTCTCCGGGCATCCCCCCAAACCGAGTCCAGGGTCTTCATCCCCGCCCCCCGCGCAGGTGTGAGCGCACGAGTGTGCGCCTTGGCGGGTGTGAGTGTGAAGTGTGTGTGCGCGGGGGAGTGCGCGGAGGGAGCGCGGGCGGCGGGCGGCGCGGGAGGCGGGAGGCAGGGCGCGGG